TTAATTTAATGATTGGACTAATACTCAGTAAAAGATATGGGGAACTATATATAAACACATTAGGTCTAAACACTTTCTTGAATACATAAGCATTTAACGACAATTTCTTCTATTTACACAAAAGCTGCAATCACCAGGCACTGTTAAAGAAACTAACACCGGATACACATTCAGAGTTAGATATAAATCACTAAATACATTCATTTGGTTTAAAAAAACCAATTAAAGGGAACATGCTTCAGCAAAGATAAGATTTGGTCATAAAGGGCACGAAGGTGAGATTGAATGCATCACAGCAATAAATGAGAACTCATGTGACAAGAATGGTAGTCCGCTAGAAACCATAGTCTGTTCCCCATTACTTTGTACAGGTGACATTCGTCCCATATAATAAACCCCAATACCTCGCCTAACCCTGACCTGTACTAATCATATGGGACCCCGGGTTTCCTTTGCTAGGACTGCCACCCCTGCCACACCGGCACACTGTGGCCATTTAAGTCTATCTGCTCCAGATGAATTAACGTTGGAGTGCGGTGTAAGTATCGTCTGTGCCCGGGTATGGGGGTGGGGGTGCATCATTTCCGGTTCCTTTCGCGGCATCAAGTGGTGCTGCCTCTGCATTGGGTGGCGATCCTGGTCCAAATGGGTTATTGGGAGGTGGAATTCCTGGCCCAAACCCTGTGTTTGGCGGCTGTGGTGGTGGAATTCCTGGTCCAAACTCCGTGTTTGGCGGCTGTTGAGGGGGAATTCCTGGCCCATACCCTGTATACGGTGGCTGTGTTCCTGGGCCATAAGCCGCATTCGGTTGAGGTATCCCTGGCCCATACGCTGTATTTGGTGGTGGGGCGTACCCAACTGGGTAACCTTGCGTTGTTGGCGGCGTGTTCATCATTACTATGCCGTTACCCGGGGGTCTGGTCACTGTAAAGAAATTTACAGCATCCACTGTAGTTAACAGTAATTGACATTCTTCTTTTTGTCTACTTTAGTTATAATAAATGTAAATACTCATAATTTACATGCAACACATTGGAATCCACGTATCACTGCGGCCAGTACTACACTGCACATGTAGTAGTTCTAGATGCAATTATGTCTCGTTTACAACTCTTTTTCTCTTTGTTGCTCTTTACACCGTATAGCATACAATGTCACAAAAACGGCAAAAAACAGTGTTTGATTTCAGCGTTCCATGATACAGCAGCCTACTCGATACAAGTTTTGTTGAATTCTGCAGCCCAGGGGCGTTTCTAGAACTCGACCTCTTTTGCTAGGACCACATATTAACCAAGTTTAACAACCCTCTACGTCTCGTCATCCTCCATCATGTACTTTAAGAATATCCCAAATGCTTCTTCTGTTCTGCCCCTCCCAAACAGGACTACACGTGAGTGTTTCTTCTCTCTTACCTGTTCCTCTCCTCTGACCACAGCATCCGGTTGCGCAGCAGATGACGACTCCTATGATGACACACAGGGCGATGAAACCGACTACAGAGCCTACTATAGCACCCGCACTATAAAGAAATTTTATAAGTCTGAATCAGCAGGATATATTATAAGGAGAGCGGCTCCATCATTATGCAAAACGAACAAAATGCAATGACCCTAGAATTACATTGATCTTGATAGCACTATTACATGTTGAAAGCCTATCAAGTGAAATAGAAAGTTAACATGATGGCACGCGCGCGCGCACAAACACACACACACACACACACACACAGAGAGAGAGAGAGAGAGAGAGAGAGGCTCTAGACTATTTGGAAGAAAAAATATATACATACACATTTATGATGCCTGATGTAGTACTCGATGTCCAGCTGCTCCAACTGCTCCAGTTGTTTGAGGGGGTGGGGCACGAGGAAAGATAGGAATAGCTCCGGTAGTATCTGCTGTAGGACGAGGTACAGCAGTATTTACTGGTAGATGTCCCGCAGCAGTACTTGGAACAGTAGAACGAGCTTCTGTAACTGCCAGATGACGTGTAATATGCGCAGCAGTATTCTCCTGAACTCACTGTAAATACAAAGGTCATGGAAAGGTCAAGGTCATAACTTAAATGGTCGTCTCATAACAAAGGGTGGGAACGTTGATAGTAGGTTACATGTTCCAAATGAAAAATTACATCGATTGTTATTATTACAAACCCACCTATTGTGGTGGTGGGTGGACTGGCGAGCGGGCATAACCAGCTATAGGTTTAACTCCTATAATATCTGCTTAAAGGGATAATACTGTAACTCTTCGTTTTGGCCAAAAAATGAATTTTCCTTGAGTAAACAACAATTTTACCATACTTACCAATGGTTAATGAATCCATTTTTACATTCAATGTTAGTCCCTGTTTTTTTTTCTAAAAATTTGTTATGCGCAACAATATTCTCCTGAACCTAATGTACGGACTTTAAATACAAAGGTGAAAGATCATTGAATAAATGAAGACCAGAACTCAAATGGTCCTACCACACCGTTTTCAATTAATGTCGAAGGTAGCTAACATGTACCAGTATATTAATTGTATACTAACAAAGTGAAAAATTTAATCCACTCTAATTACATACGAACCTGTTGTTGTGGTTGGCCTGGTGGCGGAGGGGCAGAGCGAACTAAAGGAATAATACGGGTAGTGTCTGTTATATAGCGATGTACAGCAGTATTTACTGGTAGATGTCCCGCAGCAGTACGTGGAACAGTAGCGCAATGGTTTGTAGGTGCCATATGACGTGTAATATGGACAGCAATATTCACCCCCGCTCACTGGAAAAAATTAAAAGATGGGCTAAAGTAAGCGTCAAGTTAAAAAAAGAACCTTATCAAACTAGAGGATCAGAGAGGCGATACCACCTCCTGATANTAGGACCACATATTAACCAAGTTTATCAACCCTCTACGTCTCGTCATCCTCCATCATGTACTTTAAGAATATCCCAAATACTTCTTCTGTTCTGCCCCTCCCAAACAGGACTACACGTGAGTGTTTCTTCTCTCTTACCTGTTCCTCTCCTCTGACCACAGCATCCGGTTGCGCAGCAGATGACGACTCCTATGATGACACACAGGGCGATGAAACCGACTACAGAGCCTACTATAGCACCCGCACTATAAAGAAATTTTATAAGTCTGAATCAGCAGGATATATTATAAGGAGAGCGGCTCCATCATTATGCAAAACGAACAAAATGCAATGACCCTAGAATTACATTGATCTTGATAGCACTATTACATGTTGAAAGCCTATCAAGTGAAATAGAAAGTTAACATGATGGCACGCGCGCGCGCACAAACACACACACACACACACACACACACACACACACACACAGAGAGAGAGAGAGAGAGAGAGAGAGAGAGAGAAGCTCTAGACTATTTGGAAGAAAAAATATATACATACACATTTATGATGCCTGATGTAGTACTCGATGTCCAGCTGCTCCAACTGCTCCAGTTGTTTGAGGGGGTGGGGCACGAGGAAAGATAGGAATAGCTCCGGTAGTATCTGCTGTAGGACGAGGTACAGCAGTATTTACTGGTAGATGTCCCGCAGCAGTACTTGGAACAGTAGAACGAGCTTCTGTAACTGCCAGATGACGTGTAATATGCGCAGCAGTATTCTCCTGAACTCACTGTAAATACAAAGGTCATGACAAGGTCAAGGTCATAACTTAAATGGTCGTCTCATAACAAAGGGTGGGAACGTTGATAGTAGGTAACATGTTCCAAATGAAAAATTACATCGATTGTTATTATTACAAACCCACCTATTGTGGTGGTGGGTGGACTGGCGAGCGGGCATAACCAGCTATAGGTTTATCTCCTATAATATCTGCTTTAATGGGATAATACTGTAACTCTTCGTTTTGGCCAAAAAATGAATTTTCCTGGAATAAACAACAATTTTACCATACTTACCAATAGTTAATGAATCCATTTTTACATTCAATGTTAGTCCCTGTTTTTTTTTCTAAAAATTTGTTATGCGCAACAATATTCTCCTGAACCTACTGTACGGACTTTAAATACAAAGGTGAAAGATCATTGAAAAAATGAAGACCAGAACTCAAATGGTCCTACCACACCGTTTTCAATTAATGTCGAAGGTAGCTAACATGTACCAGTATATTAATTGTATACTAACAAAGTGAAAAATTTAATCCACTCTAATTACATACGAACCTGTTGTTGTGGTTGGCCTGGTGGCGGAGGGGCAGAGCGAACTAAAGGAATAACTCGGGTAGTGTCTGTTATATAGCGAGGTACAGCAGTATTTGGTAGATGTCCCGCAGCAGTACGTGGAACAGTAGCGCAATGGTTTGTAGGTGCCATATGACGTGTAATATGGACAGCAATATTCACCCCCGCTCACTGGAAAAATTTAAAAGATGGGCTAAAGTAAGCGTCAAGCTAAAAAAAAAACCTTATCAAATTATTACTTCCAATGTTATACTGTTTTATAACTGTATACATGTACCAGTAGCACGTTTCATTAAATCAAGGAAACATATAGACGTTTTAACGTTTTAAAAATCATTATTTTATCTATTTTTAATAATATATAAAAGATAACGTTTTTTTAACGGTTTTTTAGTAAAAAAAATGGACACCAAGCCAGGAAGCAACCCCACACGGAACTCACTTCAATACCCTTGACTTTTTCATATAAGGCTATGATAAGAAGGATTCCTTCTTACTTATTAGTAATAAAACCAGTGTATCTTTACAGCTCAATTTGTTCTCAATTTGTACAAAATTGCTATCCCGTTGAGGTCGATTGTTCGCCAGCGACCCCACATACGAGTTCTAAAAACGTAGGACTATAAACGAACTTACTGAGGCTAAACAAACATACCTGTTCATATAGGGTCCTACTTTTTAGATACAATGAGTTCTAGTATTCGGTTGCTTACTAAATTATTCAACAAGGCAGCAAAGCTGTCAAATGTACAGACAAAAAACAGAAAATAAAGATGCAAAATATGTCATTTTGTCAATTTTGATGCAATAATAAATAATGCTTATAATAGCACTGTCAGTCAACACCTNAAGAGATGGGGACACAGGCCCATGCAGTCTAGGAGGAGAAGCGGTAACGGTGACTTGTATCCCACGCCACCCTGCGGAGCCGGCGGAGCTCACGGAGCCGTACGATACGGGTCGGGACTAAAACCATGAGTACCGCCAGCGTACACGCTGGTGGTACTAATTATTACTTCCAATGTTATACTGTTTTATAACTGTATACATGTACCAGTAGCACGTTTCATTAAATCAAGGAAGCATATAGACGTTTTAACGTTTTAAAAATCATTATTTTATCTATTCTTAATAACATATAAAAGATAACGTTTTTTTAACGGTTTTTAGTAAAAAAAAATGGACACCAAACCAGGAAGCAACCCCACACAGAACTCACTTCAATACCCTTGACTTTTTCATATAAGGCTATGATAAGAAGGATTCCTTCTTACCTATTAGTAATAAAACCAGTATATCTTTACAGCTCAATTTGTTCTCAATTTGTACAAAATTGCTATCCCGTTGAGGTCGATTGTTCGCCAGCGACCCCACATACGAGTTCTAAAAACGTACCTGTAGGACTATAAACGAACTTATTGAAGCTAAACAAACATACCTGTTCATATAGGGTCCTACTTTTTAGATACAATGAGTTCTAGTATTCGGTGGCTTACTAAATTATTCAACAAGGCAGCAAAGCTGTCAAATGTACAGACAAAAAACAGAAAATAAAGATGCAAAATAGGTCATTTTGTCAATTGTGATGCAATAATAAATAATGCTTATAATAGCACTGTCAGTCAACACCTAATTTTAATCATGGTAAAATNTGACACAACTCGGGGGTTGCTTGCCTGATCAGTTTCCAACTTTCAGTATGGGCCGGGAAAGTAGATGTATACATTAGCATAACAGTGAATACACAATTGGTAACACGGCTTGAAAACAGTTTTAACTTTAAAAAGTGTGGGGTGGCGAGATGCGTTTTCGACAGGTGCGACAGGAATGGTCGTCCCAGAAATGGAAGTTCCAGGGTTAGTCAGAGTATTGGGGTTGGTATGTGGGCCGAATGTCAGCTGTACATTGTAATGGGCAACGGACTACAATTCCCGTCACACCGGCTATTATACACTCAACCATGGGATCGATATCTGTCGGTTAAGTAGGTCGACTGTACCATCTGTAGTATCAACACACATTTGTAGGGATGTTAGATATTTTAAACATTAATATTTGTGATCTCCGTATATATAGCCTATATAGGCCCATCAGTGTAAAATTGGGCACTCCACATTTGTCGCTGAAATACTGTAGATGGACCTACATTGTAGGCCTATACTGTATATAGAAACCATGTTACTATACGTACCTGTGTGTATGATTGTCAGCAACGTAAACAAACAAGTCAACATGGCCTTAAATTGGACAGCCATGTTGTTGATAGCGAAACCTGCAGTTCTTTTATTTTATCCAAAGGTGTCGTAGTGTTGCAACCTTTTTGGTATGATTGCTAGACCCTTAAATTCTAATTCGATGTACTGGACTGCCCTTATGAGCCCTTAAAAACGCAGTGTAAGTCTACTGATGTAGCCCCTGTAATCTTGGTCTTCCGTTCAGCAAATGGGCCATGCAGTATTATACACGGATTCATAAAAACAGGTGCGCCAGCTAAGTAGGTCAGCAGTTTTTATTTAGGTCGCGATCAGAAAGAGGGCGCTTTGCAATTACATTGACCAGTGGATATTGAACATCTCTTCTTCACATTTAAGTCTAGTTTATTGTATAATCATTTCATGATTAATTTGTTGTACGAGGTAGGCCCATATACAGTATTTTCTTGCTTTATATACGCACATTACTGAAAATATAACGATAGAAAAAAGGGTCTTTCTGCCCGGCCTACATGTATATAGGCCTACCTACAATCTTATGTTTAAAGAAACAGACACAATTGTCTTGACACACTTAACTTTCACTAAATACATTTTCCTTTTATTTAATTCTGTATAGTAGGCCTACTAAGCAATGCATGATATCTTTACAATTTAAAGGAATAGGGCCTACATTAAGTGTATAAAAAATGGAGGCACTTCCTAGGATAACCTTAGAACGTATCCGATTGTATTTATATCCAATTAATATGATAATTATTTCATTCATTTCTATGCGAAGAATCACATACTCTCTTGATTGTAATTATGCAGGGGAAACCATGGCATGAGCGTGCCAGTCATTAAAAAGTCTTTTCCGATGGGGGTACCTCCAATAATCCTAACCCTGCTTTCAGAACGCTAAGTCCAGTTTTCAACCCTACATTTGGTGTTCGAAAGCCAGGACCTGCAGCGCCGTTCACTTGAGGTATTCCTGGCCCATACACTGGATTTTGTGGCGGCGGTCGTGTGACCACGACTGGGAAACCTTGCGCTGCGGCTGATGTGGGATACACGACTGCAGCACTGTCAGGGGGGTTATTTTTAATTGACGTTAACAGTGTTTCGTATTTTTTTATCATATCTTTCTTTGCATACAATATATGTGTATGGTTTGATGGCACTGCAGAAATTACGAACCTTGAATAATATTGACCGTATTTGTTGTATTATTGTTTTCCCCTATGTAAGAGTCACTGTGCATAAACATTGGTATTGTTGTACACAAAATGGTGATTTAGGGGTGACTTTTTACCTCAAAATGACCAAAAAATTCATCTTTTACCCAAAATGAAATGACCCAAAAAAGTGATTTATTTATTTGCACTTATTGATCAAATAATCATATGGTTAGACATATAACAAGCCATGTTTGAACTGATATTTAAAGATTTAAATGAGAAATCTGTGATTTGATGGGGACTTTGGTGGCCATTTTAAAAAATCGCTTTTTACCGATATCAGATGTAATCTGAAACAAACAAACAAACAAAAAAAACATTAGATTTGTATTCAGCAGCCAAAATGGTCACAGAATCCACTTGTTTGAAATGAAATTTCCAGAAAAAGGTTTCATTTGCCCTCCCCTAATAGTACCAGTATACATTTAGTTGCCGTCACCAATGGTAACTTTCCAGAAAACACTAAACTAGAAGTACAACGAAGTTACATGAGTGCTCCGTTTAATGCAAAAACTACTTACATGTTTGTGTATATACAGTATGTATATGGAAGGGTAAACCGGTGTGACAGGAATGGCATTCTGCTAGAAGCCGTAATTCGTTCCCAATTACTCAGGTGACAGGTGACGATCTATGTACAAACTCCAATACTCACAATAACCCTAACCTGTAGTAATCATATGGAACCCGGACATTCCTAGGACTTCTATTCCTGCCACGACGGCAGTAGAGATCAGCACATCTTTGTATCAATATCACAGTTTTTGCCCTATTGTTACCTATTCTGATATGCCACACCACACCACGCACCACGTACTATTCCTAATTACTATGAATTCAATGTAATTTGCTCGTACTTATATACCCATGATAATGATGTTTCTTTTAAGTTTATTTCTCCCTTTTTTAAGTCATTCTGCCTTAGGTCACAATGCGTGCCACGTACCTAAAATACTTAATATATATATAGTTTTTCTTGTGTATGTATGACGATTCTTGAGTAATAAAATATGGATGTTATGCACTGAAAACCCTGACCCAAAATCATTTCGCAGAATGCTGTATAATCACTATTTTTGTAATTATCTCATTTTAATTATCCGATGTTTTATGTAAGTTGAAATTTTCACTTTTCATTACCTTTATAGCAACTTTACAACTATTCGTAACAGCTAAGCATTCAAAGTTCAAAGTAAGTTGCTTGTACTATTTATGATAACCATACGTTTCTTGTAAGTTAAATTGTAGACATTCTCTTTTACCGTTCGCAGAACATAGATAAAGATTAACATTTCAAATATTTTCAAAATATTTTACATCTGGAACTAACGAAAAGAGAATACTTTGCCAGACATAGATTTGGATTAAAAATAAAAAGAAACATATATCGTAACAAAAATATATGACTTGAATTCAAAGAAAGCCATAGAAATATTCATTATTTTACTTAAAAGTTAAATAAAACACATTATTTTGTTAGTGGGACACACGTCACTTAAATGATGAAAAAACATTTATAATTCGGTAACTTATACATTATATAAAAAGGAAAACCTTAAAATCATTTGATTAAAAATTCAAAAAGTTCACAGTAGTCTTTCTCCATATTTTTAAAGTCCTACCTTAATACTCATTAATCGACATGGACAAATTAATTTACATCTAAATATTTACTTTTAAAAATCTTTCTGTAAGACAAGGCCATCGAAACGGTACTTCTTATCTTAAGTTAAAGAACAGACACCAAATAATCACTCAAACATAAAAAACATAACAAGCAGTCTGATATATAAAATCTCATTTGGTGGTGTCCAATCACATTTTGGTCATCAATATATTTGCTGAATTTACATTTGCACGAAGAATTCAAACTCCACTTAATTTAATGATTGGACTAATACTCAGTAAAAGATATGGGGAACTATATATAAACACATTAGGTCTAAACACTTTCTTGAATACATAAGCATTTAACGACAATTTCTTCTATTTACACAAAAGCTGCAATCACCAGGCACTGTTAAAGAAACTAACACCGGATACACATTCAGAGTTAGATATAAATCACTAAATACATTCATTTGGTTTAAAAAAACCAATTAAAGGGAACATGCTTCAGCAAAGATAAGATTTGGTCATAAAGGGCACGAAGGTGAGATTGAATGCATCACAGC